GAGATTCATCAGTTGTCAAGGAAAATGTTACTCATAGTCTTAACAGATTTCAGAGCTGTAAGACCCACACTAGGGATCAGCTGGTCTGACTCCCAAATTATTAACAGGAGAAATGTAAAGGAACACAAGTTATTAAAGAACTTGTCTTGAAATCATGTTTAATTCAAGTAACTATATAAAAGATCAGAAATTAAAGAGAGTTCATTTTGGCCAAATATTGCCTTTTATTAAACAGTTTGAGACGCAAACACTCAAGAATACTGTAGAAAACCTGGATCAAATGAGTCCTTTTACAATTAAAAAATTATAACAATGCTTTGACCACAGAAACTTTGAAGTAAAGGTAATTGCTCCTTACTCCTCTCTGAAGATCTAAATTAAAAGAATCCTCTAAAGTGCAGATTATTTTCCTGGAGGTGATTTAGAAAATACAGGCCATAATTCTGGTTCTTAAGAGGAAAAAAAAATAATCTTTTATTACATTTGGATGGGATTTTATTTTTTAGGAATCACTGCTTGGCTGTGAGTAGTTGTTGCTTGCTGAATATTATTCACACTTCCTCCCTCATAGCAAGCTCATGTGTAACAGTCTTAACTTGTGGGATGAGTTAGAACACTTCATTCTAATCCAAAGGCCATAGGTCATTTTCAACCACAAATTCTTCCTCCCTAGGGAAGTGTCAAGGGATGTGGTCTTTCCCATCTCATTTTTCTACAATCTCCTTTAGTCTAAAATAAAGTTTATGTCACTAATGACCAGGTCTGCAATACTATAATGCCTTATCTGGTAATTAATATCAAGAGAGAAAAAAAAAAACCTTTCCCAGCACCTTAGGAATTTCAATTGTCTAGTTTTAATGAGGCATAATGAAAGAATAAATATCTTGAAGGGCTGACAGGAAAAAATTTTCTCATCAAGATTATTTTGATAGCCTAGAACAGGAGTTGACAAATGTTTTTCTGTAAAGGGCCAGACAGTAAATATTTTAGGTTATGTGGGCCCCATGATCTCTCTGAACTACTCAACTCTGTGGTTGCAGCATGAACACATAAGTGAATGGATGTGGTTGTGTGTTTCAATAAAACTTTATAAAAACAGGCAGAAAATCAAATTTGACCCATGGGCTCTAGTCTGCTGTCCCTTAATTCAGAATTTGTAATGATTCAAGAGAGTTTAAAATAAAAAAAAAAAAACAATTTTAATATAGTATGGCTGTTATAAATCACTACACTTAGGGATACCTAGCTGATTTCCAGATAAATTGAGTGTATGTTAAAATCTTTTCAGGTTTTCTTGTTTACTTCTCCCTCTCTATTATATAAATTATAATGAAAATTTCTAAATTCATTAAAAATTTAGACAACTTCTACCAGTTAATATGAAAAAATTTATAAGTGAGATTGCAAAACTTCGGCTTTTCAATTTCATACTGTAATTGTGAACTCAATATAATAATTTTCTCAGTTTAACAAGATAGAATTTATAGAGGATTCTTTAGTATTATCTTTTAAGATACAAAAAAGCTCTTACAAGATAGTCACTGAGACAGAATCATTATTAATTTGAATTATTTTTCTGGTTGATCATATTAAAAGCTTTCTTTGAATAGTCTGATTACACACAAACTTTTGATTATTATTATGAATTGGACTAACAGTATAAGTATTATGTATTCAACTTAGTAAATAATTCAGGGTGTAATTTCAGTGTAAATTTTGATTCACATAGTTAGTACATAGGTAGTATAGGTATAGGTAATCCCTTCATCCATCTAAGATGTTTAGATGTTTTAAACATCTAAGATGTTTAGATCAGATGAAGGTGAGTAATTTATAAAGTTTAGTGACATCTCTTTTGATAACAAAAAACCCTGGTAAATGACATTCAAAAGTAAAACATTTTCTCAATTTTAATTTAATCCTAGTATAATTCTAATTCTAATTCTGAGTATAACTGTAATACTCAAAAGGGCTGGATCATTGATTAAAAACTTGTTGAGTCCAGATACCCAGAAAAAGGAATATTATCCTCTATAGTGATTTGTAATTCTACTGCACTTAATATTGTAGGGTAAATTATAAGCTATTTGAAAAGATTATCATTTCAGATATTTCATTCTGTGTCTCTTTTAAAACACTGAACTTTTAACTTTATTGAGACTTAAAGGATAAGTCAAAGATCTCTCTTGGTAAATATCACATTGCACATGAAAATATGTAGTTATTTTTAACTATCTTTTGATATTGATTTCTAAACATAATCCCACAGTGATAAAAGAATAGACTATGTATGACTTCAATACCTTTAGACCACGAAATTTTTGTACCTTGTTTTAAAGTCCCTGGATATGTTCCACTGTCTCCTGGTTTATACTCTACAGAACTTGAGTAGAATTTGTATCCTGCTGTTGTGTGAAAATTGTATAAATCTTAATTATGTTGAATTGGTTCATAGTGCTTTTCAGGTCTACTATATCCTCCTACTTTTCTGTCTATTCACTTTATTAAGTTTTGAGACTTTGAAACTCCAACTAAAAATCTTAATTTATCTACTTAAAAATAATTGTAAAAAACAAAAAAAGAATAGAAAATGCCACAGTACACTGTTCATAGCAAGGGTAGGTACTGTCTTGTAAAATTTTTTTCCTAATTTTTATTTTTGTTTATAGATTCACTGAGAACTGGGTCACAATGTAAACTGCATTTCATACTCTGCATCACAGAAAAAAAGGCCACTCCTATACACAATGATTCAAACTGTGGCTTTTGCTTAACAACGTATGTTGAAGATTATTATACCACAGTTTTAAAAAAAGTTAAAGACTGGTTAGGACAAAAGACATATAAAGACAGAAACTAACACGGGGTTAGACTTCTTCTTTCAAAGATTTTGGAAAACTTCAAGGGGGGACAATTACTTCACAGACTGGAATGTAAGCCCAGTTGGAATCAAGGTCTACAGGGCTTTTGAGGTGTCTAATGTTGAAAATCTCAAGTTGACTCTAGTTAAAAAAGCTGGAGAGGAGAAAGGAAAATTTTTGTTCTGGAAAAGTGTTCTTCTCTGATGCAAAAAGAAATTCATCTTACAAAGGAAGAAGGAGAGATGAGCTGCTCTAATTTAGTCTTTTGGAAACAGACAAAAAGATTATGAATTTGCTACAAAAACCTTTTGTTTCTTCTCAGTATTACTTTATAAGCTAAAAGATGTCTTTTTTGTGTGCATGTGAAAAGTTTCCAAGCCTCCAAAATTCATAAAAATTAACTTGAAACACTGAAATCCATTTCAAAAAGAATCAAAGTATAGAGAATCTTAAATTTTAAAAAGTTATATATATTAGAAATCTCATAGTGGGTATTTTAATTTTAGATATTCTATCCACTTTCCTTTTTTACAGCTTTTCTATTCGGAAAGGTGGAAACATTCAAATGTTAAAAGTATTAAACAATGTGTGTTATTTAAAAAATTCTCAAGGCTCGAAGTGAAAGTAATAAACTTCCTATTAATATATTAATTAAATTAGTTTTTATCATCTATGAATCTAGTAACAAGAGTTGAATAAACTATTAGAATCATGTTATAAATGTCAGAGGAAATAGAATACTAAACATTAATCCAAAAAACACATTTTTAATTAATAAAAAATAATGTAACTAGGTCTTTCTTATTTTTTAATAATGCACATATATACTAATTCCATACTCTGTTCTATTTCATTACATGTATTAACTGGCAGTTGTTTTGTATTAAATTTATTGTTCTTACCATATAAGGGAAGAAGGATAGAGAAGTGGAACTTTGGTGCAAATAGAATCTAATATTGTCATGACTGTTGTGATTTAATGAACACTTCTAAAGGTGTAACTAGTTTATCTAACATAAAGAGATACTAATCTTTTAGGCTAAAGGCAAAGGAGAAAAGGAAAGATATACCCATCTGAATGCAGAGTCCCAAAAAATAGCAAGGAGAAATTAAAGAGCCTTCCTCAGTGATCAGTGCAAAGAAAAGGAGGAAAACAATAGAATGGGAAAGACTAGAGATCTCTTCAAGAAAATCAGAGATACTGAGGGAACTTCTCATGCAAAGATGGGCACAATAAAGGACATAAATGGTATGGGTCTAACAGAAGCTGAAGATATTAAGAAGAGGTGGCAAGAACATGAGGAAACTATACAAAGAAGATCTTTATGACCCAGATAATCACCATGGTGTGATCACTCACCTAGAGCCAGACATCCTGGAATGTAAAGTCAAGTGAGTCTTAGGAAGTATCACTATGAACACAGCTAGTGGAGGTGATGGCAATCCAACTGAGCTATTTCAAAACATCAAAGATGATGCTGTGAAAATGCTGCATTCAATATGCCAGCAAATTTGGAAAACTCAGCAATGGCTACAGAAAAGGTCAAGTTTTCATTCCAGTCCCAAAGAAAGGCAATGCAAAACAATGTTCAACTACCACACAACTGCATTCATCTCACATGCAAGCAAAGTAATACTCAAAATTCCCCAAGCTAGGCTTCAACAGTATGTGAACCAAGAGCTTTCATATGTTCAAGTTGGATTTAGAAAAAGCAGAGGAACTAGGGATCAAATTGCTAACATCCACTGGATCCAGGCCAGAATACTGGAGTGGGTAGCCTTTCCCTTCTCCAGGGGATCTACCCAACCCAGGAATCAAACCTAGGTCTCCCGCATTGCAGGCAGATTCTTTAGCAGCTAAGTCACTCTTCTGAAGGTTATGTATCTATTAGAAATTTTGGGGGGCTTATACTACTTTTAAAAACATCTTGAGACAAGTTGCACAGAGATTTAATCCCACATGAAATGCTTCTGTGAGTCATTAAATAATCTAGAAAGCTTACTTAGCATTTTTTTTTTTTTTTTTGCTGTTGCTGACAAACTCTTTGTAAAAACATCTTGAGACAAGTTGCACAGAGATTTAATCCCACATGAAATGCTTCTGTGAGTCATTAAATAATCTAGAAAGCTTACTTAGCATTTTTTTTTTTTTTTTGCTGTGCTGACAAACTCTTTGTTGAAACCTAATGGTAACTATTGAGGAGTAAGAATTTTCTTTATATCATACCAAAATTGATTTTAAATTAAGAGTATGGAACTAAAGTGGTATCATGAGTTCTTATGAAACTCCTAGGAGTGTCAATACTCTTCTATTTAACTGCCAACTGAAGAGTAATCTTTTATTTCTATGTTTTATGCTTTATTTATAATTTTATTGTTATATAATACCATATATTGTATAATATATAGTCTTTTAATACTTTATGTTACACTAAACACACAAATAAGACATAAAATAGTGTGTGAGAATTCACCATATAATTTATTATATAATATACTGTAATTTAACATGCTTATTACAGAGATTACCATTAAACAACTCATCCTAAGTGTTTCTCATCCTGGATACTAAAAAAATTAAAGATTTGTTGAAAAGTCTACAAATTAAGCTATTATTAAATACATTATTTTCAGCCACTGCTCAGACTTACAAATTAATAAAACTACACTGTACCAAAATGACATTCATTTTGTAAAGCTTCAATATGCATTATAAATTCTGACAAGCATATTCTGAATTTTGTTCTCAAAATGGAACTATGGCAGAAGAGCCCTAATTTGATGACTGTAATAAAATCTATTAGAACCACAGTGGTGTTAACCTAGTCCAAAGGCCTAAAGAGTGCATTCAAATTTCGACAACCATTACACAAGAAATAACAAACTTATGGCAAAAACTTTAAAAATCTATACCTGTCTACTTTCTTTTTAAGTGTAAAGTCAAATTGAAAATAGGTCATTTCTGGGAATCCAGCAGGAAATTATTCAGTGCTTTTTTTGTTAACAAATGGAATTTATGTTTACAGATGTAACTATTAGAATATATACTTATACCAGAAAAAAATATTAGATGAAGATTCCTAAAAGATGAAAAAGGATGTTTTAAATACTTTATAATTTCATGTCATTGTATGGAAGCCAATGCTTCAGTTTATGGAAGAACAAATTAAAGCCCTCCAGGGGATACGTACCCTTTTCTGTTCCTTTACATACTCTATCAGTTCATCTCTTGTTCTCTTCACTGCCTCTTCCACAGCCTTTTCACTTCGTTTCTGCTCTTCTATTATTGCTGCCTTAACTGTTTCCTGTTTGTGGGAGGATGAGAAAGAGTCAGGGAAGTATGTGCTATGATATGTTTGTGTCCATTTAACATAAACCAAAAACGTTCAATGGGTTGAACTTATTCTGTTCAAAGCATATCTTGAAACAGGAATAAGAACTTACAGAATCTCTTGGGTTCTATGAAGAGATTCCACAGAATTCACTTTTCCAAACTGAGTGAAAGGGAAAAAAAAAAGGAGTAAGCCATTTATTGCAGGGAGAGCCTAAAAGACTCCAATGGCTTCCTTACCAACCTTTCACTTGATGTTTACATGATTGATTGCCTTCCTTTACTTTGCACTATTCACATAAGACTTCCAACTTGTATTTATTCTTCCAAGAACACCCTAATGTTCTAGGCTGTTTTATTCACATTTAGCTTTCCCATCACACAATAATCAAGCGTGGTCTGGGTGGTAAGATTTACAGCTAGTTTAGTCCTCCTGCCAGGTTAAGATGTTGAGAACTGGACACCATGAATGAGAGGTAAAAATTTCACTCTGTGTCCTAATATCTGAAATGAGAAATCTAGGGAGAAAAGTGGTATTACACATTTCACTGAAAAAGTAATTGAGGACCCTAAGAGATTTCAAATGTTCAGGTAAAGAGAAAGAAGGCTAAAGTTCTGAAGAAGAAATATAACACTTCTCAAAAACTAAGAAATATTTTGTGCTAAGACAGCATTTCATAGATTGGAAGCAAACTCTAACTTCCTTTTGTCTACACAGGTAGTATCTTTCTTTGAACAGGCAATCAATTAGAAAATGCTGTGATATTTCTCAATAGTATTTCCCTCATTTTGCTATTCTTGAAGACCCTTCACTTTGTTGTACATACATGTTTTGGTTTAGTTTTTCCCAATTTTATACACACACACACATACACACACACACACACACACATCCTTAAACTGGGTCTGATTCTTTTGTGACCCCCTGGACTGTAGCCCACCAGGCTCCTCTGTCCATGGGATTTCCCAGGCAAGAATACTGGAGTGGGTTGCCATTTCCTTCTCCAGAGGATGTTCCTGACCCAGGGATTGAACTCATGTCTCCTGAATTGGCAGGCAGATACTCTACCACTGAGCCACCCAAGAAGCCCTATCTGTTAATCCCAAATTCTAAATTGAGGCCTCCTCCTGTTCCCTGCAGTAACTATAAGTTTCGTTTCTATATCTGTGAGTCTACTTCTGTTTTGCTAATAAGTTTATCTGTATCATGAACAGATTCTACATATAAGTGATATCATGTGGTATCTGTCCTTCTCTGACTGACTTCACTCACTGTGACAATCTCTAGGTCCATCCATGTTGCTACAAATGGCATTAATTTGTTCTTTTTATGGCTGAATAGCATCCCATTGTGTGTGTGTGTGTACATAGCACATTTATTTATTCATGTCGACAGATATTTAGGTTGCTTCCAAGTTTTGGCTATTGTAAATAGTGCTGCTATGAACACTGGGGTGCATGCATCTTCTCAAATTAGAGTTTTCTCTGTATATAAGCCAAGGAGTATGACTTCTGGGTCATATGATAACTCTAAGTTTTTTCAGGAACCTGCATACTGTTATCCATAGCAGATGTACCAATTTACATTTCCCCAACAGTATAAGATGGTTCCCCTTCCCTCTTACACTGTTGGTGGGAATGCAAATTAGTACAGCCACTATGGAAAACAGTGTGGAGATTCCTTAAAAAGCTGGAAATAGATCTGCCATATGACCCAGCAATACCACTTCTAGGCATACACACCAAGGAAACCAGATCCGAAAGACACACGTGCACCCCAATGTTCATCGCAGCACTGTTTATAATAGCCAGGACATGGAAGCAACCTAGATGCCCATCAGCAGATGAATGGATGAGGAAGCTGTGGTTCATATACACCATGGAATATTACTCAGCCATTAAAAAGAATTCATTTGAATCAGTTCCAATGAGATGGGTGAAACTGTAGCCCATTATACAGAGTGAAGTAAGCCAGAAAGATAAAGACCATTACAGTATACTAACACATATATATGGAATTTAGAAAGATGGTTACGATAACCCTATATGCAAAAAAAGAAAAAGAGACTCAGATGTATAGAACAGACTTGTGGACTCTGTGGGAGAAGGCGAGGGTGGGATGTTTCAAGAGAACAGCATCGAAACATGTATATCTAGGGTGAAACAGATCACCAGCCCAGGTTGGATGCATGAGATAAGTGCTCAGGCCTGGTGCACTGGGAAGACCCAGAGGGATGGGGTGGAGAGGGAGGTGGGAGGGGGGACCGGGATGGGGAATACATGTAAATCCACGGCTAATTCATTGCAATGTATGACAAAAACCACTGCAATGTTGTAAAGTAATTAGCCTCCAACTAATAAAAATAAATGGGGAAAAAAAAAAATGTTATCACTGTAAAAAAAAAAAAAAAAAAAGATGGTTCCCTTTCTTCATACGCTCTCCAGCATTTATTATATGTAGACTTTTAAATCATGGCCATTCTAACCAGTATGAGGTGATATCTCATTATGAAAAATGTAATTTTCATTTTTTTCATAAAAATGAAAAAATTTCAGTAATTTTTGAAAAAAAAAAAAAGACAAAGATTATTTCAAATAAAAGCACTTACTATTACAATTCGTGTTGGTGTCACACATACTAATATGAAATTTGAAACTTTTCAGATTTTATAAAGGCAAAAAGTAATACATCTGTTACTAAGCCCCCTGAAATAAAACACAATAATAGTTTTGTGATGAAGGGTGTGAATATTCACAGTACATGGGTAAATTAAAAGTGTAAATAGTTTCACATTATTTCAGAACAGGATTTGCAAATAGCCATGTTTCAAAAAGCCTTGGTTTTCAAGGGTTTTATAATTTTAAAACTACTGTAAACCTAGACGAGTTGAATATAGAAGATAAATCCATATCATATTGAATATCAAAAAGAATTTCTGTCTAGTAAGGGTCAAATTTGACTAGAAATGTTTGAAGACAAAAACATCAACTTAAATAAAAGGAATATATCCAGGAAAAAAATGAACAGAGTTAGCTACTATGTTCTTCAGTTAACCTTTTTTTTTTTTCAGGGTGGATGGGCCTGAGAGTTTATACTGTCTGTTCCTTTTTTTTTTGAGGATCCTTCTTTTTAAATTTTGAGTTGAAGAAGAACATTTACAATGAAAGTCTCCCTTGATTCTCTCCTCCCCAGCTGGCAGTTAGGTGACAGCTAAGGTTGTGAAATCTACATATACATAGCTATATTTAAAACAGATAACCAACAAATGGTTAGGATCCCTTAGGAAGCATCACGATAAACAAAGCTAGTGTAGGTGATGCAATTCCAGTTGAGCTATTTCAAATCCTCAAAGATGATGCTGTTAATGTGCTGCACTCAATATGCCAGCAAGTTTGGAAAACTCAGCAGTGGCTACAGGACTGGAAAAAGGTCAGTTTTCATTCCAATCCCAAAGAAAGGCAATGCCAAACAATGTTCAACTACTGCATAGTTGCACTTATCTCACATGCAAGCAAAGTAATGCTCAAAATTCTTGAAGCCAGGCTTTATTAGTAGAGAATTACCAGATGTACAAGCTGGATTTACAAAAGCCAGATGAACCAGAGATCAAATTACCAACATCTGCTGAATCATTGAAAAAGCAGAGAGTTCCAGAAATACATCTACTTCTGCTTCAATGACTATGCTAAAGCCTTTCACTGTGTAGATCACAACCAACTTTAGAAAATTCTTCAAGAGATGGGAATACTAGACCACCTTACCTGCCTTCTGAGAAACCTATATGCAGGTCAAGGAGAAGCAGTTAGAACTAGACATGGAACAATGCAGGGGTTCCAAATGGGGAAAGGAGTACATCAAGGCTGTATATTGTCACCCTGCTTATTTAACTTCTATGCAGAGCATGTCATGCAAAATACCGGGCTGGATGAAGCATAAGCTGGAATCAAGATTGCCAGGAGAAATATTAGTAACCTGAGATATGCAGATGACATCACCCTCACGGAAGAAAGTGAAGAGGATCTAAGAGCCTCTTGATGAAAGTGAAAGAGAATGAAAAAGCTGGCTCAAACTCATCATTCAGGTCCCATCACTTCATGCCAAATAGATGGGGAAACAATGGAAACAGTGACAGACTTTATTTTGGGGGGGGGGCTCCAAAATCACTGAAGATGGTGAATGCAGTCATGAAATTAAAAAGACGCTTACTTCATGGAAGAAATATGACCAATCTAGACAGCATATTTACAAAGGAGAGACATTCCTTTGCTGACAAAGGCCTATCTAGTCAAAGCTATGGTTTTCCAGTAGTCATGTATGGATGTGAGTTGGACCATAAAGAAGGCTGTGCACTGACGAATTGATGTTTTTGAACTATGGTGTTGGAGAAGGCTCTTGAGAGTCCCTTGGAAAGCAAGGAGATCAAGACAGTCAATCCTAAAGGAAATCAATCCTGAATATTCATTGGAAGGACTGATGCTGAAACTGAAGCTCCAGTATTTTGGTCACCTGATGCAAAGAAGTGACTCATTAGAAAAGACCTTGATGCTGGAAAGATTGAAGGCAGGAGAAGAAAGGGATGAGAGAGGATAAGATGGTTGGATGGCATCACCGATCAATGGACATGAGTTTGATCAAGCTCCAGGAGATTGTGAAGGACAGGGAAGCCTGGCGTGCTGCAGTCCATGGGGCTGCAAAGAACTGGAAACAACTAAGCAATGTAACAACCACCACCAACAAATACCTACTATATGGCACATGCAACCGAGATCCATATTATATAACACCCTAAATGGGAAAAGAACTTGAAAAAGAATAGGTAAATGTATGTGTGTAACTGAATCACTGTGCTATACACCTGAAACTAACACCAAATTGTTAATCATCTATACTCTAATATAAAATATAAATGAAAAAATGAATAAAAAACTTTATTACTTCATTTATTTCAATAAATAAATATCTTCGAATATGAC